CACACAAGCAGAGAGAAACAACACGGAGACACACAGAGAGAGACACACAACACAGACACGGAGACACACAGACAGACAAGCAGAGCGAGACAACATAGAGACACACAGAGAGAGACACACAACACAGACACGGAGACATACAGACAGACACACAAGCAGAGAGAGACAACACAGAGACACACAGAGGGAGACACACAACACAGACACGGAGACACACAGAAAGACACAAGCAGAGAGGGACAACACAGAGACACACAGAGAGAGACACACAACACAGACACGGAGACACACAAACGGACACACAAGCAGAAAGAGAGAGACAACACAGAGACACACAGAGAGAGACACACAACACAACACAGACACGGAGACACACAGACAGACACACAAGCAGAGAGAGACAACACAGAGACACACAGAGAGAGACACACAACACAGACACGGAGACACACAGACAGACACACAAGCAGAGAGAGACAACACAGAGACACACAGAGAGAGACACACAATACAGACACGGAGACACAGACAGACACACAAGCAGAGAGAGACAACACAGAGACACACAGAGAGAGACACACAACACAAACACGGAGACACACAGAGAGACACACAAGCAGAGAGAGACAACACAGAGACACACACAACACAGACACGGAGACACACAGAGAGACACACAAGCAGAGAGAGACAACACAGAGACACACAGAGAGAGACACACAACACAGACACGGAGACACACACACAGATACACAAGCAGAGAGAGACAACACAGAGACACAGAGAGAGACACACAACACAGACACGGAGACACACAGAAAGACACACAAGCAGAGAGACAAGACAGAGACACACAGAGAGAGACACACAACACAGACACGGAGACACACAGACAGACACACAAGCAGAGAGAAACAACAAAGAGACACACAGATAGAGAGACACACAACACAGACACGGAGACACACAGACAGACACACAAGCAGAGAGAGAGACAACACAGAGACACACAGAGAGAGACACACAACACAGACACGGAGACACACAGACAGACACACAAGCAGAGAGAGAGAGACAACACAGAGACACACAGAGAGAGACACACAACACAGACACGGTTACATACAGACGGACACACAAGCAGAGAGAGAGACAACACAGAGACACACAGAGAGAGACACACAACACAGACACGGAGACACACAGACACACAAGCAAAGAGAGACAACACAGAGACACACAGAGAGAGACACACAACACAGACAGGGAGACACACAGACAGACACACAAGCAGAGAGAGAGAGACAACACAGAGACACACAGAGAGAGACACAACACAGACACGGAGACACACAGACAGACACACAAGCAGAGAGAGACAACACAGAGACACACAGAGAGAGACACACAACACAGACACGGAGACACACAGACAGACACACAAGCAGAGAGAGACAACACAGAGACACACAGAGAGAGACACACAACACAGACACGGAGACACAGACAGACACACAAGCAGAGAGAGACATCACAGAGACACACAGAGAGAGACACACAACGCAGACACGGAGACACACAGAAAGACACACAAGCAGAGAGAGACAAGACAGAGACACAAAGAGAGAGACACACAACACAGACACGGAGACACACAGACAGACACACAAGCAGAGAGAAACAACACAGAGACACACAGAGAGAGACACACAACACAGACACGGAGACACACAGACAGACAAGCAGAGCGAGACAACATAGAGACACACAGAGAGAGACACACAACACAGACACGGAGACATACAGACAGACACACAAGCAGAGAGAGACAACACAGAGACACACAGATAGATAGACACACAACACAGACACGGAGACACAGAAAGACACACAAGCAGAGAGAGACAACACAGAGACACAGAGAGAGACACACACAACACAGACACGGAGACACACAGAGAGACACACAAGCAGAGAGAGACAACACAGAGACACAGAGAGAGAGACACACAACACAGGCACGGAGACACACAGACGGACACACAAGCAGAGAGACAACACAGAGACACACAGAGAGAGACACACAACACAGACACGGAGACACACAGACGGACACACAAGCAAAGAGAGACAACACAGAGACACACAGAGAGAGACACACAACACAGACACGGTTACATACAGACGGACACACAAGCAGAGAGAGAGACAACACAGAGACACACAGAGAGAGACACACAACACAGACACGGAGACACACAGACACACAAGCAAAGAGAGACAACACAGAGACACACAGAGAGAGACACACAACACAGACAGGGAGACACACAGACAGACACACAAGCAGAGAGAGAGAGACAACACAGAGACACACAGAGAGAGACACAACACAGACACGGAGACACACAGACAGACACACAAGCAGAGAGAGACAACACAGAGACACACAGAGAGAGACACACAACACAGACACGGAGACACACAGACAGACACACAAGCAGAGAGAGACAACACAGAGACACACAGAGAGAGACACACAACACAGACACGGAGACACAGACAGACACACAAGCAGAGAGAGACATCACAGAGACACACAGAGAGAGACACACAACGCAGACACGGAGACACACAGAAAGACACACAAGCAGAGAGAGACAAGACAGAGACACAAAGAAAGAGACACACAACACAGACACGGAGACACACAGACAGACACACAAGCAGAGAGAAACAACACAGAGACACACAGAGAGAGACACACAACACAGACACGGAGACACACAGACAGACAAGCAGAGAGAGACAACATAGAGACACACAGAGAGAGACACACAACACAGACACGGAGACATACAGACAGACACACAAGCAGAGAGAGACAACACAGAGACACACAGATAGATAGACACACAACACAGACACGGAGACACAGAAAGACACACAAGCAGAGAGAGACAACACAGAGACACAGAGAGAGACACACACAACACAGACACGGAGACACACAGAGAGACACACAAGCAGAGAGAGACAACACAGAGACACAGAGAGAGAGACACACAACACAGGCACGGAGACACACAGACGGACACACAAGCAGAGAGACAACACAGAGACACACAGAGAGAGACACACAACACAGACACGGAGACACACAGACGGACACACAAGCAAAGAGAGACAACACAGAGACACACAGAGAGAGACACACAACACAGACACGGAGACACACAGACACACAAGCAGAGAGAGACAACACAGAGACACACAGAGAGAGTCACACAACACAGACACGGAGACACACAGACGGACACCCAAGCAGAGAGAGACAACACAGAGACACACAGAGAGAGACACACAACACAGACACGGAGACACACAGACAGACCCACAAGCAGAGAGAGACAACACAGAGACAGAGAGAGAGACACACAACACAGACACGGAGACACACAGACGGACACACAAGCAGAGAGAGACAACACAGAGACACAGAGAGAGAGAGACACACAACACAGACACGGAGACACACAGACGGACACACAAGCAGAGAGAGACAACACAGAGACACACAGAGAGAGACACACAACACAGACACGGAGACACACAGACGGACACACAAGCAGAGAGAGAGAGACAACACAGAGACACACAGAGAGAGACACACAACACAGACACGGAGACACACAGACGGACACACAAGCAGAGAGACAAAACGTCGTACTATATTATTTAATTTATTTCCTTTCTACGTGACTTTACCGAAAGAACCAAAGAAGAGTAATTCCTGCAGTCACGAAAGCTTCAAATCAAGTTTCATGCCCCTATGGCTATGCTTGCCGTTGCCTTCACCAACACGCTCAGAGCAGTATGGTACGGTAAAATGCCCCCTCCCCCCCCACGACCAGCAACATCCTAGGGAGGAGGCTGCCTCCAGCAGTTCATTTAGAAAAGGGCTCAATATATGCGTGTGTGTATGTATGCCCGAAGTACTGAATGTGATGGCCAGGCGAGCAAAACGCCTCGTGGTCGCAGCCAGCACTGAACTGGCTCAAGAGCCAACATTCGCAACTTTCCAGCCACGTTCATGTTTCACATACATGACATAAGATACAAAATAACGTATGACTATGTGAGTGATCAATTTAATATAACCCATGACTGGATAACATTTTCATTAAAATGTTATATTTTTAGCATCGTTTCCCGAACTGCCAACTTCGGAGGAGAGGGAAGGAGTCTGATGCTTCATGGGGTGGAAACTCAGACCTGGGCCCTATTTCTGTTTTGGGGCCATGGAAACGTGGCAATGGGCTTCACCCTGTTCCGCTCTCCATCTTTATCCGTCTCTTTCTCCTCAAAAACGTAAAACGAAACAATTTGATTTACCAGGTAAATCCCATTAAGCTAATAACATTTTTTTTTTAGAGGTGATCTGGCCACACGATAGATAATATAATTTGCATGCATATGATATGTGGGAATATATAGAGATTACGTCTCAACACCTGTTGGTAAATGTGGAGGGCAAAACCATCGTCAGGCTCAGCATAGAACCCATGACGTCCTGCACGACCTGGCGAGGGACGTGACATCTCACCACCAGTTGCGCCCCTCTCACTCATTTAAACTAAAACTAAACTATTTTTTTTTATTTCACCAGGTAAGGCCCACTGAGCTGTACAGCTGTTTTTTTTTCAGAAGCGATCTGGCCACAAACGATGGCTCAACAAAGTGGCTAATCACGTGGAAAAAGAATGTCTAGGAAGCCAAATACTTTCAACATATGTTTCTAAACGTGGAGGGGAAAACCCGTAGGGCCCGGTGCAAAAAAAAAAACCATGCGACTACGGGGAGAGAGAGAGAGACATCGCAAACTCCAAATATACAGCACAGGCATCTGGGTCGGGATCGAACCAATACCCCCCCCCCAACTCCTGTATGCCAGGTGATGGCAGCGAACATCTGCGTCACCGTGATGCCGACTGACTGACCCGGACAATGGGCAGGACTATGAAGGCGCCGCCGCCCGATGCGTCGGTGAGGATTGCGATGAAGCGAGGGTTGATGGCGCAGAGCGGCGAGTCCCAGGTGGTGCGCGTCACCCGCACGTCCTCGTAGCAGAACTCGGGCCGGGCCGCCTGCCCGAACACGTGGCGGAACTTGCTCTGCCGCACGACGCGGCGCGCAGCTGACATCGCACCCACCGGGGCGCCAGGGGCCGACGGACGGACGGACGTGGCAAAGCACGCGCGACGAGCGGTGGCAAGTGGTGGCGTCGGTTCTGAAACAAAGAACGAGGAATTCCCACCCCCCCCCCCCCAAAAAAACAATCAAACAACGCTCATAGGCACTCGAAACAAATTAATATTCGATTTTTTTTGTTTAGATCCAGAGCTTACCAAGGCTAATAACGTCGTACTCAAGACTGTAAATGTTGTGGCTTTTCTCTCCAGCACACCGGCGTGCTGTACTAGTAACGAATGGGCACGTTATGTTTCCGTGACAAACCTTACTAATTGGCTGCGTTGGGTGGTGGCGGGTTAAACGACACATTTGTATATTTACGCGATCTAACCCAACGTAAAAAATATCACGAAGGCCTACGTATTAAAAGGCTAATATTGCTGATGTGACCGTCCCCTCGCCATTGCTTCCTTCTCCGTGCCATAATTTCTGAGCTATTGCACAGTCAACACTCGATCTCCGAGGTCTGCTCTTACAGTCTCGTCGTTCCCATCCACCATTTGGCTTTAGCTCTCCACCCTCGTTAGCGTTTAAATACCTTTAGGGTCGCTGGTAAGGTCTCATCACCACCACCACCAAGTGGATTTAGATATTCCCCTTAGTTGTCGACTTCTGAGTGTCTGTCTCGGTGGCCTTCTGGCCTCCTCCATCCTGGCCCATCCATTGCAACCTCCACCCTGCTGATGTCCACAATGCTCTCTTTTCACGTTTCATTTTGAATGCGACGATGCATTGATTCATCAACTTAAATCAATCCTTGCGCACACGATGCTTGTGTAGTGACTAACTCGGAGACAGTGAGACTTTGAGGTACGTCTTTTAGTTAACAAACACCATCAGGATAATACACAACACCACGTGGGTACACACTATCACTGTTGCTAGCCTATACACAACACCACGTGGGTACACACTTACTGTTGCTAGCCTCTACACAACACCACGTGGGTACACACTATCACTGTTGCTAGCCTATACACAACACCACGTGGGTACACACTATTACTGTTGCTAGCCTATACACAACACCACGTGGGTACACACTATTACTGTTGCTAGCCTATACACAACACCACGTTGGTACACACTATTACTGTTGCCAGCCTATACACAACACCACGTGGGCACACACTATTACTGTTGCTAGCCTATACACAACACCACGTGGGTACACACTATCACTGTTGCTAGCCTATACACAACACCACGTGGGTACACACTATTACTGTTGCTAGCCTATACACAACATTAACCGTCTAACACCGACGGCGCTGAACGGAGACAGCCAACAACTATCTTGCAGCGCAATATCAAGTGAAGATGGCAGTGACGATGGCGATGACGAGATGGTAATGACGATGTTGAGCAGCAGGACGGGGATCCCACTTCCAGCAACAGCCACGAGGTCCACCACAGGGGCCCCTCTTTTACTCTCAGCGTGGCCTCGCTCTGCCCTGGCCACGCCCCCTCTCTGGAACCTTCCAGCGGGTTCCCGAGGCTTCCCGATGGACCCCCCCCCCCCCTCTGTGACCTTTCCCCGTGATGTCCCCCTCTGGTGTCTATCATGGCCTGCTGACATCAGTGCTGCTGTACACCGCAGATCCCCTTTTTCGCCAGCAGCCAGCGCTATGCCACTACACATGCATGAAAACGCGCGCATAACACTTATGTTATACTCGTAATGTGCTCCCAGTAACCATGCAAGGTTTGGGCGAACGTTGGCCCAAAGTTGGCCCAACGTTGGCCCAGCGTTTGCTCCTGTTGGCCCAACGTTGATCCAACGTAAACTAACGTTGGCCCAACGCTTTACGTGTTTACTGGGCTGCCATGCAATTGGTTCACGCGACCCCTGCAGCCATAAATAGGCCGCTACATGAATCACAACATGAAATTAATAAATAGACATATTTAAAAAAACATTTCGAATCACAAGGCCCATATTCAGGAGGGTTCACCTGAAGGTGGGAGGGAAAATTGTTACACGCACCCCATACAGCAGAGATCAGTCTACCCACATACCCTCTGGCGTCAATATGATCTGGCGTGAAGACAGTACGGCCCTTTTGGCCATTCCACTGCTGGATGAGAGCATCACCAGTGCCATGCAGGCCGTGAGGGTTGTTATGACGAACTTCACGACAGCTGGTCAGAGTGGGTTGGTAAATGCAAGTAGCATAGCCGTTGGGGCATAGTGAGGTACAACAATGGATTATAGTGGCACTGCATCAGGTAACAACATTGTACCGCAGCAGCCTGTAACCATGCGTGGTGCTTGCCCATGCAAGCACTATCCAGGCTCGAACCCTGCTAAGCTTCCAAGATATTCCCATAGCTGCTTCTCATTCGTGACTCAGCGCACGATTACTTTCAAAAAATATTTTTTAAAAATCCGACGTCACATGCTACATCTTCACCCACATTCATTGTAGGTAAACTATACACATGACTATCTACAGAAAAACCTTGGATTGCGAGTAACTTGGTCTGCGAGTGTTTTGCAAGACGAGCAACATTTTAAAATACATTTTTATTTGATAAACGAGCGAGGGTCTTGCAATACGAGTAAGTAGTACCGTATAGACGCTTTGTACTGCCGAGCGTCACGTGATCACAACTGACATACGAGTGCTTTGGATATACGAGTGCTTTGGATTACAAAACACGTTTCCGGAACGAATTATTGCTCAGCAATCCAAGGTTTTACTGTATATTTCTACATCAGCTCAAGCCTCCCGGAAATCACATGACTCTGGATGCATCCGCTCTGCCCGCCCCCTTTGAAAACAAACACTGCTCAATGCAGCAGCGCCCAGGCCCTGCTGTAGCCGCTTACTCACTCGTGTGACCCTTTGCTCCCATTGCCCCTTTTCTATTCCCACCCTTTTCCTCTTTTCCCATTTGTTCTCTTCTCTCTTCCCTTTCCTGTTGACTGACTATGTTGACTATTTGAATGATTACCAGGTAAGGCCCACTGAGCTATATAGCAACCTGGCCAGAAACGATAGCTCAGCGAGCTCAACGAAGTGGCTTACCACGTGGGTATGTATTGCAGCCACAAAACTCGAAACGCACGTTTTTAGATGTGGAGGGGAAAAACCGGAGAAAAATCCACACGACCACAGCGAGAGAGACACCGCAAACTACAAGTATACAGCAGGCGTAAGGATCGGTATCAAACCCACGACCTCCTGTATACCAGGCGAGGTGGTTAACATCTCGCCACCTTTAGTCACTACATTAGATACTCCCCTTCCTGTGGTATGCATTTATGTATTTTGAACTTCTTTCGCAACGTATGTAGCCAACCGTGCTAATCTGGGCTGTCCTTCTCCCACCTCACCCGGGGATAATCGAGAGCTGACTGTTTCAGATGCACATGCGGAGGTCGTGCAGGGAACAAGCCAGGATTGAATGGAGGGGTCATGCGCGGCTGGCTCCATACGGTGAGAAAGAAGTTCAACATAATACACCCAGTGAGATAATTAAGGAAAGGTGCTTGGCACGAAAGGCGCGAACTTGGGGATGGAGTATATGAGGAGGTGTCGGACAAGGGTGCGGGGGGCTCTCGGGGAGGGGGGGGAAGAAAAGTCTGGGATGTCAACAACATGTGTTCGTGCCCTGCCCTTATAAGTGTTATTGTCGGTGTTGATCGGAGCGATAAAAAGTTCCCCTTACCAGGACGAGCCGTGTGGACGTCCTTTTGATATACACTCGCTTTATGCGGTAGATGCGTTTTAAAAAAAACAAACTAAAATGGTGGATAAAAATGTGAAACCGCAAAGCTGCGTTTGAGTGAATCCAAACGGCATATATAGCGATTTTTTGGGGAGAAATAGGTTAGCCGTGTGTATGCAAAATCGCACAAACCAAACCCGCATTAAAGCGAGGGAAAACTTGTCTGCAGTAATACCCCCCCCGTTTATGTCGGGGATGCGTTCCTTAAAGGTACGAGGGCGAATATTGAAGCGACGTAAATCAATTTCCAGGGTAGGCAATGGAGGCATTTGGGCTGAGGCGACGGATACGAGAAAGGAAGGATGACGTCAGCAGTGCCGGTGCCGGTTGAGGCGACGAAATTCAGGTGGTGGTTTAGTAAAAGTGACGACGTGTTATCGTTAAACGGCGTGAAAGGCAGGAGACGTAAATCGGGGTATAACTATCACCGTATAATTTTTTTCTGACAAAATATTTACATGAAGCTAAATTATTCATTAATATCTTTGTCAAATAAATAGATGTCACTCATTCAAATAGTGCTTTGCAAAAAATAAAATTATAGCAATTGGAAGCAAGGTAATTATTTCACGTAATTTTGATATTTCATTGCATTCCTTAATCACTTTTGTGTAACACACAGTCTGTGCCTTTGGGGCCGGCCATAAATGACGTCACGCGATTTTCGACGATTTTTGACACCCCCCCCCCTCGTCACACGGCGTCACAAAAGTCAGACCCCCCTCAAATATGGCGTCACAAAGCTCTGCCCATCCCCCCCCCCAAAAAAAAAAAACATGCTTCAAATCGCTTTAAACTATTGTCATTGTAGTGCGTATTTAATGTGGCGCTGCACTCTGATGTTGTAGGAGAAAACATTTATTATAAAGTCTATTTAATTAAGTAGAACGTCTACATCATTAGACCTCCTTTGCCAGTACCAAAATGTAATAATAGGGTTTTTCCCGTTTTTTCTGGCAACAAAATTGAAACCTTTTTACAAGGATTCATTTCTGCATTAACCACAATACCTGCAGTCAAAATACAAACAAAAAACATACTATGATAATATATGCATTGTCCTATTATTAAGTAGAACGTGTTGTCTATATTTATTTAAAGTTGCGCATTTTGATGTGACGTCACATTTCTCAAACAAATGTCTGACCCCCAACCCCCCCCCCCCCCCAGGTGCGTGACGTCATTTATAGACGGTCCCTTTGAAGCATTATAGTTTGTAACGGATAGATATACTTGTGGCACGCTTATGTTAAGTGAACCGCAGTCGACTTACTCCCAGTCATCTGTATTCACACTGAAAAC